CGTGTACAGGGGCAGAGGACAGGACCAGGACAGAGCATCCTACCCTCGCCTGCCCAGCCTTGCCCACTGGGGACAGGCCTGAGCGGTGCCTTCCCGTTGCTGCCCGTGGACTCCCTTTCACCCCTTGTCCATCCCAGTGCTTGGTTCTTGGACCCTTTGGCCACAGGCTGAGCCAAGCCATCAGGCAGATGCCAGCCCTTGTCCCTCTGCCCCCGGACCCCCCCATACTGGGGCCTTCGTCCCCCTCTTTGTCTGCTAGGCCAGGCCGCCTCTGGCTGTGGCCCGGGCGGGGGCTGTGCTGGCGCTGTGGGCAGCTCCAGGACGGCAGGGCAGGTTTCCGCGGTGGCTGCAGTGGCCGAGTCCCCTCCAAGGCAGAGGCAATGGATGCTGCTCCTGGCTGCATTCCCACTTTGGGCTTCTCAGTTCACTTCAGTGGAAAAACCAATTCTTCCTCCCAGATTAAAAGTTGGCAAGAGTTTTCATTTTTCCCCCCCTTATCACAAGAGCAAATTATTTTACCACAGAAAGATCAGAAAATAAAAACTCTTAAATAATACTAAAAAGACAGCCCAGTTTTTAAATGGGCAAAGGATCTGAACGGACATTTTTCCACGGAAGATGTACAAGTGGCCAGTAAACCCATGAAATCTCAGTTTTTGTCAGTCGTTAGGGTGACAAACACCAAAACCACCCTAGACACTCTGGACACGGGGATAGCTCAGGTCAGTGTCCAGTAGCACACCTGTTGGTGAGGGTTGGAAGAGTTGGAAGCCCCGTAAGCTGCTGGCGGGAGTGGGAGGGGGCCACTGCTTGGACGAGTGCAGGCGCCTGCAAGGTGGTTACCATGAGAGCCGGAGAAACGAGAACACGTGCCACAGAAACTGGCGCGTGGATGTTCAGAGCAGCAAGATCCCTAAGAGCCGGGAAGGTGCAATGATCTGCGTGTGCATCACCTGAGCAGTGGGCAAGCAGAGTGTGGTCCATCCGTGGGATGGAATGTTACTCGGCCACGAGAGGACGCGCCCCCACCTGGAGGAGCCTGGACAGCCTGGTGCATGGAAGGAGGCAGACACTCTGGGACACGCTGGGATTCCACATGTGACGTGTCCACCACAGGCGAGTCCACAGAACAGGTGCTCATGGGCGCAGGGCGCTTTCTGGGGTGATGAGAATGTTCTGGAACTAGGCCGTGGTGATGGCTGCACAACTTTGGGAATGTACTAAAACACGGACATCTCATTGTAGAAGGATGAATTTGCGGTAATGTTGTGTCTCCATAAACGGTAAAAACAGAAGACCTCAGAGGAGACAGGACGTACCTGGAACTCACTGTTCTCCCACGGGACAGCGAGCAGCTCTCTGCACGTGGCACCCAGGACCTGCGGTCACTCTTGGGTCCCAGGCTGGTAGCCCAGGCGCAGGCTCCTGTCGCCTCCTCCCACACTGAGCCTTCATCTGCCCTATGTTGAGCGCCTGGGGGTGCCCAAAGCACAGCTGTGAGCAGAAGGGGGCCAGGCCGGGTGCGCCCTGGCAGCTGGTATATGGGAAGCATAACATGAGGGCCTGGTGGCGCTTGAAGGGGGGACCTTGATCAGAGTCCCGGGGGTGGGGGTGCTGCAGGCAGCGGAAATGTGGCCGGAGAGGGACGGCCCAGCTCAGTGGGATTTCAGACTTGGGCCTATTTTCACAGAAGGAAGTAACAGTGACAGGAGGGTTGTAAGCAGGGGAGTGACATGTCTGATTTATGGGGCTTTTATTGAGGTGAAATTCACATACAATTAACTTTTTTTTTTTGAGAACATTTATTTAGTTAATCACAGAGGTAGAAAAAGTACTTCGTAGAAGACATGGGCTTTGGAAACAAGTTATAGAGTCAAAGGAAGGGCCCTTGGAGCTTGGGAGTGAGGGAGGTAATGGTGGCGCCTGGGGAAGGGAGGGAAAGGCGCGGGAAGGAGACACTGGGCCCTCCTTCCTAAGGCTTTGGAGAGAGGAGATCTTAGGGCAGCTCCCAGGGGAAGAGCTCATTGTAATATTCAGCAGCTTTCCAGGTGTGTCCTTTCAGGGCCGTGGTCTCCACTGATTGATTGGTTGGCACCAGGGCAGCTGGTCCTGAGGTCAGCTGTGGCTGGTTATGCTGCATTTTTGGGCCTGGAGTTGGAATACAACTGCTTCGGAGGGACACAGGGCCTTGCTCAGGTGTGAGCACAGTTGCCCAGTTCTGACCAGGGAAATCCGTGCAAACTGCAGAAGACGCCATGGGGGTCTTACAGTTAACCGTTTCAAGTGTGCAAGTCTGTGGCACTTAGTGGGTTCACAATGAGTACCCACTGCTGCTGAGATTTTCACCTGTGCCCACGAGCTGTGCCTCCCCTGCCCCCGTCCCTGGCAATGCGGACCTGCTTCCTGGACTCACACGCACCACCTTGGTGTCGCTGCTTATTGAGCGGACGTCCGAAGTGTGTCCCAGCCCAGAGTGTCCGAGCCTCGCTCCTGGGCTGGGCCGCACTCCGCTGTCTGGGCGACCCCAGTGCGTTCGGCGACTGTGAATAGACTGCTGTGAACATTCATGAACAAGCATTTCCTCTGCTGATTCCAACCTCTGTGCTGCTGTGTGAGGTGGACGGAGGGCTTTGTCTCTGCCCTGTGTCCCCCGCCATGTCCTCAGCCTGCAGGTGCTGTGCGTCAGGTGTGAGGCTGCAATACCTGGGGCACTGTCTGAGTTTCTGATCTCATGGACTGTGGCCCGTTGTAATGCCCCTCTGGTTATCAGTGAGCACTTTTCGTGTCTGATGTATTATTTCTATTTTTCCTTTTGTGAATTGGCTGTTTGTGCTCTGTGCTCATTTCTTTTGAGAGGTTTTGCTTTTTTCTCATTGATTTATAAAATCTCTCTATATTAAGGGAATTCGTAATGTATAACGTACAAGCTCTTCTCTGGGGGGCTCTTCTCAGCTCTGCCCCCACAGCTTGGGGGTCTGGGGAGGCCCTTCCTCCTGTGGAACCTCCTGCTGCCCCACAGAGAGGGCTCCTCAGTGGGACAGACAGATGGGCAGGTGCATCTCAGAGCTGCGTACTGTCCATTGTGTGCAGCTGCAAGTCAGCTAGCACCCCCACCCCCCAGCTTCCTCCTCACCGGCTGCCTGCTGCTGTTCCATTGCCTCTTCCAGAAGATGGGGTCTGGGCACGGTTGTCCTGGGCTCTGGCACAGGTGTGCAGGTGTGTAATGGAGACCCAAGAAATCACCTAAGAGAACTACCCATGAGGGTGGGCAGGACTGGCCTGCAGCAGAGGATGGCCGGCACCTGTTTGGGTGGGTGCTGCAGGTAGGGGCTGGCCCTCTGTGTTTTGCCACCCGCAGAACGGCAGGGGCGCTGCTCAGCCTCTTCACATGACCTCACGGCCCTGACTGGAGCGGGGCTTGGCAGCCTTCTGACCAGTGTTTTCTCCCTGCAGGCATCACATGGGGCAAGGTGGTGTCCCTGTACTCCGTGGCTGCGGGGCTGGCTGTGGACTGTGTGCGGCAGGCCCAGCCCGCCATGGTCCATGCTCTCGTCGACTGCCTTGGGGAGTTTGTGCGCAAGACCCTGGTGACCTGGCTGCGGAGACGCGGTGGATGGGTGAGTGGGGTCATAGGGTGCAGGGGTGGGAGGAGGGGGTGAGGGTTGGGCTGCTGGGTCTAAGGCTGGCCCTGTTGCCTACTTCAGTGTTGACCTCTCCTCCCTCCCCCCAACTCCAACACTAAAGACCTGCTGCCTGGGAGGCAAACTCAGGCCCTGAAGGGGAAAGGCCAGGGCTACCCTGCTCACCTGGCCTGGCCAGACCTTGGGGGCTTCTGGGCCCTGGGCATGTGGGGCTGGCCCCACCCATGGGAGATCTGATTTCTCTGTAAAGTGGGTGGTGTGGGGCACACTGGGAGGGGTGCCGAGCTCAGCCCTCCACCGAGATTGCAGCCAAGGGCTGTGGTCTCATCTGAAGGTGGTACTGGGTGGGGAGGTGTTGCCTCCAGGTGATTCCCGTGGCTGTGGCACCCCCAGCACAGGGCCTTTGAGGCCTCTGCCACCTCTTCACCTCTCCCCATGGAGCCCCGCTGGGGCTGGACACGGCGGCTTCCTGGACCCAGCTGCCTCCTCTCCCCTCTGAGCTCTTCCCTGCCCTTCTCACCATTTGAATCCTCATGGAGGGTTTGGTCCTTGTGGAGACTTCACTCCCACCCAGACTGCAGACCTTCCATTCATGGCTGCGTGCTCCCTGTCCACTTGGCTGACAGGTGGAAGGTGTGGTGGGCCTCTGCTCCCAGCTCTGCTCTTAAAGGTCCCTTCCTCCCCGCAGACCGACGTCCTCAAGTGTGTGGTCAGCAGCGACCCTGGCTTCCGCTCCCATTGGCTTGTGACCACGCTGTGCAGCTTCGGCCGCTTCCTGAAGGCTGCCTTCTTTGTGCTGTTGCCGGAGAGATGAGCCTGGCCCTGGATCCAGAAGCCCCCGCCCCGCCCCCTGCCAAAACATCGCCCTCCTCCCTCAGAGCCCCTCTCCTACACCCAGGCCCTCGGGACATGGGAGCACAGGGCTCCCCTGGGCCTGGAACTGGCCTTTGGTGTTGACCTGTGGCCCCATCCTGTTGTGCCCCTTCTCCTGGAGCCAGAAGATCAGGGTTACCTCCCAGACCCTAAAGGAAGGCAGCTAGAAACACCACACTCTCGCCTGATGCCAGGGTCCCATCCACGAAGGGCGACCATGTCAGGACATTCGGCTGAAGGTGACCTGGGCCTGGCCAAGGCTAGAGGAGCGGTGGGTCTTACTGATCCCACAAACTGAGTGTAAGGCTCATGTGCTGTTGCTTAATCCATGTCTGGAGGGACAATGTCCTCAGCTGTGGCTGTGTCCTTGTGTGGCAGGGACCAGGGAGTGGGGCTCCAGGTCGGTGTACCTGTCCTGTGGATGCATGAGCTCCTGACCCACCTACAAGGATGGGGTGTGTGTTTGATTCCAATAAAGTGTCACAAGAGTGGAGGGTGACCCCGCCTGCGTTCCGAGTGCCCGTCCTGGACTAGACAGGCGGCAGGTGAATCCATTGTGATAGGCCATCTTCCCTGATTGTCTGTCTTTTGCTCCCCTGCTCCACAAGCAGCTCATGCACCCACACTCCCACCTGGGCACACACACCTGCACATGCACGTGTCCCACTCTGTGCACACATAGGTGGACAAGAGCAGGGTGCCCAGGCCCCCTGCTCCCCATGACCCATCCATTCTGGCCATTCCCATCTCTTTGCTTAGCTGACAGCCCATTTTGTCATTGCAGCCTCCCCTCAGCCCTGAGCCTGGCCCTGGTCTGTTCCCAGTAGGGCCTGCCCCCAGCAGCCCATCCAACTCCTGCTTAGGCCATAGGCATATGGCACAGGAGGGCTATGACGTGGCCTCAGCCTCAGTTTCCCCTTTCTGTACAAGGCAGGTTGAGCTGGACAACCGCTTAGGTCTAGCCCTGCCTCCCTTGCAGCCTCCAGATGAAGCAGGGGTCCCGAAGGTGCAGCTTCCCTCAGCTGCCCCCATCGCCCCTCCCGGCTCCCCAGCCTCTGCCCAGCACCCCCTCCCCAGGGGCCTTGCAGTGGAGAGAAGGAAGGGAGCTGGCAGGAGACAGGGATGGGGGGTGGAGAGGAAGGTACGGCCACCCTGCCTGCCCCTGCTTCCTGTCATTCGCTTGGATCAAAGGCGCTGGTATTTCAGACGCTGAGAGCACTCAGAAGAGCAGCAGGGTAAAGTGACAGATCAGCGGTCTCTACATGCAGGTAGAAGGGGCACCAGGGGAAGTGCCCTCTTTCCAACAGCAAAGCTCTAGGCCCGAGCCAGACAAGGGGTGTGAGGCCTCTGGGAGGACAACCAGGGCCGCAAAGATCCAAGTGGACGAGCAAACACCAGCTTCCCAAGAGGAAAACCTGCACGAGGAGGCTGTTCTCCGTACATTTATAAATTTAATCCCAACAAAAAAGACCAGAATGTTTTTCCCTGGATCTAAAGCTAGTTATAAAGTTCCCATGAGAGAAACAAAAAATGCAAAGACAGGAAAACCCTTAGAAGACTGAGGAGGAGGCTGAGCCACCTGGATGGACCGTGCGCCAGGCGCAGGCCAGGTGCAGACGGGCAGGGACCCGGACTCGGGCCCAGCCTGAGGACAAACGGGATGGTGGCAGCTCAGGCAGCAGGGAACGATGGGCTTGTCACCGCGTGTTGCCTCACTGTGAGCCACTTGGGGAAAGACTAAGTCCTACCTGTGCGTCCCACTACACAGCAGATAAACTCCAAGTGGACCCAAGAGCTAAGTATAAAAAATGAAAAACTGCTAGAAAAAATGAGTTTCTTTGAAACAGAGGAGCAGGCAAAACTTTCCCCCTCCAGGAATGATAAAAGACAAAATATATACTGGAAGGAAGTGTTTATAACATTTAACATTTTCAAAAATATGAGGCCCTGGCCAGGGAGCTCAGTTGACTTAGAGTGTCGTCCTGATACACTGAGGTTGGGGGTTTGATCCTGTCAGGGCACATACAAGAAACAACCAGTGAAGCATAAATAAGTGGAACAACAAACCAGTATTTCTTTCTCTCCCTTTCCTCCTTCTCTCTAAAAAAAAAAAAAAAAAAAAAAATTATATATAACTTGAGACAAACCAGTAGTGGTTTGGGACTGACTGTCTTAATGGGTGGGTACAGGGTTTTGGGGGAGTGACAAACGTTTTGGAAGTAGGTAATTGTTACACGATATTGCAAACATCAAAGCACACTGAACTATGTAGTTTTTGGATACCCTAAAATGGGTAAAATGATGAACTTTATAAATGCATTTTATCTCCATAAAAAGTTGTAATTTAAATTAGGGATGTTAGGAGTAATAGTTCTAATTCAGAAGAGCTCAGCACCTCCAAAAATCAAGAAGAAAAAGACAAAAAAGCGCAAACCCAAACTACCCCAAGATCCCATGTCTCCCCAATCAGACTGGCCCAGATCCTGACCCGACAACTGACTTGTGGTGGGGGTAGGGGTGGGCAGGCAACCCACACACCCTGGGAGGCAAAGTGGCAGCATCCCTGTGGGGGAGGGGCAGCAGCTAGACACAGCAGATCGCATTTACCCCGAGACCGGGAATCGCACGGCTAGAAATCCATCCCAAAGGTGCACTGGCAAAAATACAAAACCAGGTCATTCACTCTGACATTCTGTTAGCACAGCCTGGAAACAAGGCAAATGCCCACCACGAGGGACCTGCTGGATTCAATGGCACATGGCTTCCAGGGGGCACCCTGCAGCTGGGCTGTGTACCTGTGCGGGGCAAAATGTATCTTAGAGTACACTCAGTCTGTGGAAGTTAAAATAAATGAGCGCATGTATCAAGTTGACATAAGCAACCAGACAAATTGCTTATTCCAATTATATATATATATATATGTTTTTATTGATTTTAGAGAGAGAGGAAGGGAGAGGGAGAGAGAGAAACGTCGATGTGAGAGAGGAGTACTGATATGAGAAAACTGATCAATTGCCTCCCATACACGCCCTGACTGGGGACTGAACCTGCAACCTGGGCATGTGCCCTGACCAGGAATTGGACCTGCGACCTTTTGGTGGGTACACAGGACTATGCTGAACCAGCTAAGCTACACTGGCCAGGGCTCCAACTATATTTTAACTATATTTTCAATGAGAAAGGTATAAAAACAGTAACAAGAAATTAATCAGCAATCTCACTATTAAGAGTATAATTATACCAAATAATTGTGTGTCCTATAGAATAAAGCAGTTTTAATGTTGCAGAGAACGAAGATTTTCATCTTAAGATGTACAATGAAAAAATTTAAGTAAAACAATTTATAATCTTAAATTTTGAATTGTAAACAGTGTAGACACACCTTTTTTTCCCCCCTTTCTTAAAAAATGTGTATGCCCCCTGCAGAGGCAGTAAGGGTGATGGGCCATGATCTCAGTGCCTTCATCTCATGTAGTTCAGTGAAAATAAATCAATTATTAAATGATTTTCCAGTTCTGCCCATGGAAGAGGCCTGGAAGCAGAGCAGCTGCCTGTGGTCTCTGAGTTCCCCTCTCCACTCCCCCACCCCCAGTAAGGAGAATGGGCGCTGGGGCAGGAGACGCGGGGGGCAGTGATGGCGCTTTGGCGTAGAGCCATCGGGGCTGGGGAGCTCCATCAGGCCAACTATGGGATCATTGGAACACCTCTGTCGAAGAGGAAAAGGCCGCACGGGCCTAGAATCCCATCAAATATACAGAAGTCCTGGGATCTGCTGGCCAGTGTGGTTCAGTGGTTGAGCGCTGTCCCGATTGTGTGAACCATCCTGTACTCACCAACGTAAAGCAAGTGCTTATGTCCTCATTTCCTATCCAAGCCCAGAGATTTCCCGCCTCCTCAATCTGCCACCAGTGACTTCATGTGACTTCCTTCAGCCCTCTCCTTTGACCCTAAACATGTAGAGGAGCTGTAAAAGCACCTTCTCTGGAGTTGTCTCAACCCATGGAGATCTTACTTCCAGGCATGTCCTCAATTCCTGGCTCAAATAAATTCTTATTAAAGGCGTTTTATAGGCTTGAATATTTCTCTAATTGATTGAAGGAGTTATGCTTTTATGCTGGCTTTCTGGTGTGAACATTTCAGGGAAACCAAACTTAGCCTAACAGGTGAAGGGAAGTTTTCCAAGTGAGTCCCAGCCCAGAATGCAAGAGTAATGACAACCGAGCCCCCACTCTTATCAAGGAGGTGCTTCGGGTGATGTTGCCTCGGCTGGCGAACCTTTCACATGAAAGGCTGTCACCATCCGAGCCTCAAGTGAGACCAGAAGACTGAGGACTAGGCACCCACAGGGAGTGTGTCCAACCAGAACTCTCCATCCAGTGTCCAGACTACAGGAAATGGGACAAAGGAACACGGCAGATACTACAAGAAGCCCAGGAGAACCCGGACCACAGCCTGGGGACCCCTTGAGGAGTAGTGACCATCTTCCCAACAAGCCAGTGGCAGGAGTTGGTGGGGGAAGATGACTGGTCAGTTAATTGCTTCTCATTTTTTGGCTATGCTCTGGGTGCTGCCCTCCCAGCACCCCTTCCCGCTCAGTGCAGGGGTGAGATGCAGAGGTGGGATAGAGGGGCAAGTGCTGGGGTGGGATTTGGGTTCAGGGACAGGATGTGGGACTCAGGGTCAGGGTGTAGGGGTGGATGCAGGGGCAGGAGGTGGGGTTCGTGTTGCAGACAACTGCGCTGTAACTAACCAACCCTCTGGCAGAGAAAAAGCCAGAGAAGCCAGATTTTAAACAGTCAAAGGCATTAGAGTCACCAAGGCTACAAGGACCAAGGTCCCAGAAAGGAGTGCAGCCGGGAGACCCAATGTGGCTGTATCACCTGCCAGTCAGTTGTCTCTGCACAGCTGGAGTGGCTTCTGCACACACCACGGGCACTCACCCCAGTCTCCCTGCTCAGGGACCCAGTGAGCCTGCTCCTCTGCCTTCAGCTCTATGTTGCATTGATAGCCTCAAGTGGAAAAAACACAGAATCCTCCCCAAAGAGGCTGCAAGAGGACTTAAAGAACAGGTGAAACCAATAGGATGGAAATGCTAACGTGCTAAAGCTGGGAGACGGGTACAGGGTTAGTGTATGTCTGCAAACTCTCAACAAAGACAGAAAACAAAGTAATATTACATTACAGAGAAATAAAATAAGATCCACACAATGACCCTAAGTTCACAGCTGCCGTCTTGCCTTGGGAACACCCTCTGTCCTTACGGAGTTAAAAATCACAGCAACCCTTTTGGTCCCAGTCTGTCCTGTCTTTGTCTCCAGCTGATTATTTGGCCACTCTACTTAAGGTTTGTAAATATTTCAGATCTTGTAAAAAATGCAGAAAGAAAAAGAGAGAGTACGAGAGAGTCACCTTTCTTAGTTTTTTAGGGAAGAGACTGGAAAACAGTCACCAGCAGATGAGGAGAGGGACAGTCCGCACACATGATAATATCAAAGTGCTCAGCCATAAAAATAAAGGCCTTTTATTTGGTTTTTCTATGCCATTACAGGAACACGGGGCAACACCCACACCTGCTGCTGTGGAGTCTGTGAGAAGCAGGGTGTCACAGCTCGACACAAGGCCAGGATGAAGCTCTGCTGTGGGTCACGGGGTCACCTTCTTGTAGGTGATGTGAAGATGCTGAGTCATGGGCTGGGTAGTGGTTGCCATGGAAACTGTCTGCTCAAGTTTGCCTTCGGAATTCAGCCTGAATTTTCGGGTAATCTGAGCAGAACAAAACAAATACAAAACACCTTAGTTTTATTTTCCAAAGATACAACAAATGCTTGAGGTCCCGCCACAGGCCCAGTGTTCCTGCAGGGGCTGTGACATGTCACCTCACTTGTGAGTCAGATGACTGACACTCTGCCCACAGAGCTACAGCACTTGCCAAGATCCAGGTGTCCTGAGCCCTGGCCCTCGCCTTTTCCTGTCCCCAGAAGACTAACAGATGATCATGCGACTTGGTCCCTCCCATCTTAGGGTATTTAGAAGCCATCTTCTTTTTTCTGTCTGTAAATTACACACTTGATTAGACAAAAGCTGACCTCTCCACTTTACAGCTTGAACTGATGGCAAACGTGTTCCTCACGTAGTGGCACTTTGGGAACAAACTATGGTGGCTGTTTCCAACAAGGAAGCCTGCAGTGAGCAACCTGTGGGAAAACCTTCTCTGCTGGGATGTCTGTGAATAGAGTGAGGAACCACGACAACTGCTGAGCAGCCACCCTGCTCCAGAATAAGCAACTTGGCAGCAAGAAGCAGGTGAGCGAGAAATGGGAGACAGCTTGGGAGGCACCGAGTCACTGTGGCTGGGCCACTGAGGACCTCTCCCCGGGTACCAGGAAGGAGGCAGTGGTGGGAAAAATGGGTAAGGGCTGCCCTGTGTCCACCGCCCCAGGTGTACACACTCACAGGGTGTGGCCTCCAGAGCACTGTCACCCCATCTCAGGGATGACAGTTGGCTGTCACAGTGGCTGGCTCAGCGCCAAAGCCCCACAGCAGTGGCAGAGCCGTGCACAGGCTCCCCAAGAGCTACCTGTCAGGTTCTTGGGGCCCTTGAACTTTCTTGTGCTATTTTCCTCTTCAAATTAAAGTTATTGGGAAAGATTTAAGTTGAGGCAGATGTACTACATTGCTTAGGCCCAATAGACCTCTTCTGGTGCTGGGCCTCTGGTGCCAACTAGCAACCTGGTGAGGTCACTAATAACTGGGTATTCTGAGGCTGCCAGAGATCCATCTGAGCCGCAGATTGGTCCTCGTGTCAGTAAGGTGGGGCCGGAAGCAACTACTGGCTTGTTGACTGTAAAGTGGAGCTTGCTGAGCGGCTGTGAGTCCATGTTCTGGAGGCCCACGCAGTGGGAGCTCCACTCCTCAGACAAGGGCAGCTCCGAGCCTCTGATACTACAGAAAGACAGTCCAGCTCTTTTGACTGGATCAGAGTCTGCATTTCAACAAAACCCCTAGATTCACTGGCATGATGAAGTGTGAGAACTGGTATGAGTGACGAGCAGTTAATTTGCTTAATGTGTGGTGATCGCAATACGACCAAAAGGGCATTTCTGAAGATTCCTGGGTGGAGTAATGAACACAGTGTTTATTTAAAAAACTGCATCGGGCAAGAGATCGAAGGTTGTGGCCACGGGGACTTGGCAGTGGTTGGGCAGTGCGGGTGTGGCCTGGTATCGCTGAGGAAGGAGATTCTCTGTGACTCGTGGAATGTGGGAGGCAGCAGGGCTATGAGCCCTAGTCCCTCAGCTCTAATTCTGTGTTCAAGACCCCAGGCTGGTTTCGCTGTTTAATTAAACGGAGATGGTCCTTATTTTTAAGACATTTCTAGCTGTCCCAATTGGTTTTCAACAGAGTTGCCAAGACCATTCAATGCAGAAAGAACAGTCTTTTCAACTAATGGTGCTGGGAAAACTGGATATTCACACGCAAAAGAATGACTCTGGACCCTTATCTAACAGTGTATGTAAGACAGTAACTCAAAATAGGTCAGAGAGTTGCACATAAAAGCTAAATTTATAAACCTCTTAAAAGAAAACATGAGCAAAAGCTCCATGACACTGGACTTGGTGAAGGTTTCTTGGATATAACACCAAACACACAGTCAACAAAGGAAAAAATAGACCAATTGGAATATTTTAAAAATTTCTACATCAAAAGGCACTATCGAGAGTGTGAAACAGCAGCCCACAGAAAGAAAATATTTGCCGTTAGCTCTAATATTAGAGCTAATGTCCAGAGTACATCAAGAACTCTTATGACTCAACATCAAAAAACCCAAGCTACCCAACTCAAACATGGACAAAAGACTTGAACAGACATTTCTGCAGACACGTGAATGGCGAACAAGCCCATGAGAAGATGCTCAACAGCACTGATCATGGGAAACACAAATGACACCACAGTGATACCTCCTCACCCATCAGGATAGCTGCTTTCAAACCCCAGAAAATATCAAGTGCTGATAAGGCTATGGAGAAACGGGAACCCTGTGCACCAGTGATGGGAGTGGAAAATGCTGCAGCCTCCGTGAAAAGCAGGATCGTTCCTCAAACAATTAAACCAGAGTTACCATAGGACCCAGCCCTTTCACTCCTGGGTACAGGCTGAAAGAACTGAAATCAGTGTCTCAGAAATACCTGCACACCCACGGAAGCAACCCGTGTCCATGGACGCACGGAAGGATGGACAAGATGTCATCCCTCCACACAAGGGAGTATTAGCCTCACAAAGGAAGGAAATCCTGGCATATGTGACAACATGGATGAACCTTGAGTAAAATAAGCCAGTCATAAAAAGACAAATACTGTATGATTCCACTTATAGGAGGTACTTAGAGTCGTCAAAATCACAGAGACAGAAAGTAAACGATGGCTGCCAGGGGGTAGGGGAGGGGAGAAGGGCAAGTTATGGTTTAATAGACAGAGTTGCAGATTTATAAGAGCTATAGGCATGGATGGGGGTGATGGCTGTACAACAATGTGAATGTAAAAACCACTGAAGGGGACACTTGAAAATGGCTAAGATGATAAATTTTTTGTTATGACATATTTTGACTCAATACAAAAATATTGAAAAAGAAAAAAAAGTTGGGTGTGAAATAAACTCAAGGGCATGGCTGCCAGCAGACCTGTGCTACGAGGAGTGTTGCTCATGCAGGTCTTCAGGATGAAGGGACCACAGAAACTCAGAGCAACAGGAGGAGACGGGGGACACAGAGAGCGTAAGTGGGTAATGCTGAGATTATATCCCCCCACTGTAATTTCTTTGAAAGTCAACAGACTATTTAAAGCAAAAGTAACAATACTATGAAGTTCCTAGTGGAGTGTGTCCATGTGCGTCCACCTTCCACAGGGACCCAGTGTGGTGGCAGCTGCACAGGAGGCGGGTGGATGGAGATGCAGAGCTGTGAGGTTAAGGCGTGCGAGGTGGGAAGCAGCAAGTTCAGATGCAAGGTGAGCACAGGGTTACCCGAGACCAGGTGGGAAGCGGGAACATAACTGCACACTAGTTATAAGTTTAGGAAAAAAGAGATATAGCTAAGAAGCTAGTAAAAGAAATAAAACAGAATGCTAAGGATATTTAACCCAAGAGAACATAGTAAGGTTCAACCCAGGGGGGAAGGTCAACCAGGCATGTGAGTCTAGCCATTGGTCAGCCAGGTCACTTTGCAGAGTGGAGCTGTCCCTTTGGCGCTGCTGCCCACAGGCCTCTCCTCTGCTTACTCCCTTTTTTTGCAGAAGAGCCACTTTTTTGTTTAATAAAAGAGAAGACACAGAAGAACCAGGGGACGTATGTGTCACTTCCCCAAACTCTGAAAACCTTGATGAAAAGAGTACTTTTCCGGGGAACCAAGAATTTTCAAGTGAAGTGAGGTGGGGGACTGGAGATGAACAAGCGTGGAGACAGAAGCAGCGTCCAGGTCTGGGCCCCTCTGCACCCCGGTGCCGGCCCAGACACCTTCCGAGGGGGTCACCACTAAGTCCTGTGGGGGCTGCCCTTTGCAGGGGGCAGAAACAGCTAAGGAGCTCCCAGCTCATTCTATGAATAACTGATACCAAAGAGCATAGCATCTGAACAGAATTACTTAATTCATTGTGACTAGTAGGGGTGATCTTCAAAAGCAAACATGACTCAGTGTTTGGAGTTATTAATATTATTCACTGCACTCATAGCTTCAAGTGGAAAAAACACAGAATCTTCCCCAAAGAGGCTGCAAAGCATTTGAAGAAACTCAAAACCCTTTCCTGAAAACAATTCTTAGCACACTAGAAACAGGATCTCCTTGACCAGCAATGTGGTCTATGGGGAGCAGCATACAGCAAGTGGCCAATGGAGCTGAGACACAGGAGGACCTAAGGAAGTCAGGCCTGAGGTCACTGTGCTCCCCTGTGGTCCTGGCAGTGCCCTGCTGAGACCCAGCAGTTAAGACAGACAGACATGACCCGAGTGGACAGAAACACACAGAAACCAGAGGCCTCCGCATAACCACCAACAGTCAGAAGATGAAATGGAAACAACATTCTATGCACAGAGCAACAAAAACTACGGCACTTAAGGCATCACCCTACCTATGTGATTAAAGTGATAAGGAAATGAATACACTTTGGTATCTACAAACACTCCACACAGGACCTGGAATCACTGCTGCGCCCCACCCTGCTGCCGTGTGCACCACCCACAGAGACACCGGTTCTCTCCAGTTAATTCATGTATTCACCCAATTCTCATGCAAATTTTATGGACCTGGACAAGTTCACTGAACAGGTCATCCAGATGAGGAAATGCTTAAGAATTAACCAGGAAAATGTAGCTTTTTTAAAATTTAAATCCTCACCCAAGTATCTGTTTTTTTAAATTAATTTTTAGAGAGAGAGGAAGGGAGAAATAGAAACATCAATTTGAGAGAGAGACATTGATTGGTTGCCTCCCACACCCACCCCAACCAGGGATCGAACCTGCAGCCTAGGTATGTGCTCTGACCAGGAACTGAACTCGGGACCTTTCAGTTTATGGGATGTCACTCCAACCAACTGGCCACCCTGGCAGGGCCAACCAAGAAAATTTAAAGAATCAAGAACTTTCTCCAGACATGAAAATGTAACATAAACTATGGTAACCTAAATTATCAGATGATTTTAAATTACTAGTGAAGTAGACAGACAAAAAGAAACAGGCCCCTCCCCCTACTTATGGGGATGTGGCCTGAGATAGGCATGACTTTTCAAATCTGTGGGGTCACTGTCACCCCTCTGGGGAAAGTCAGAAGCGTATGTTGCATCCTGTAAAAACAAGTCTGAGAGAGACTCAAGGTTTGAATGTGAAGAGGAAAGCTATAGGAGCACAAGAAAATGGAAGAAGAATTTTATCCTTTTGGAGAAAACACCTTCCTGAGCATGAACCCAAATCCACACACCACAAAGAAAAAGGGCCCCAGAGGCAACTGCTGCAAAGCTTATGAGCTGTGGGTAGAACACGTAGTAAACCAACGGAGAGATGTTTGTCACATGCACAGCAGACAACTGGTTAATATCCACAAAAAGCTCTCATAAGTCAGCAAGAAAAGGAAAACCCATCAATGACCCTGAACATCAAGCACACAGAACAGGAGACACAAATGTCCAACCAGTGTGGGGAGCACTTCCTCTCACTCGTCAGCTAAACTGTCTTACTTTACTTAATCAGACTTGACAGCACTGTAAGTCTGAAAACAGGCACGTTGTTGGAGGGAGCAGGGGACCAGGCACTTAGCAAGCTGGCAGGAACGCAAGAGTTAGGAAAAGGAATTTAACCGTATCTATCAAAGTTTAAAACGTGCCTATCCTTTGATCCAGGAATTTACCTGGGAGAAATTTATCCAACAGATGTGGCTGTATCTGCAAAGTGGACCACACGGATGAAAAAGGAAGTCTGTGACAGAAGAACAGCAAGGAGCCCAGGAGCCTCCCTGCCCCTCCAGGATGTGTAGGAGGAAGAGTGAGGGACCACGAAGACAGGGGGCCCTGACAGAGTGGGAAGCCGGAACGATGCATGGTCCTGCCTGTGATGAAAAATGCGCACCACGCAGCCACATCTGGGAGGGAGGGCTGCACAGATGGCTCACCTGCTCCACGTGGGGCTCCTTGGCGAAGGAGATCCTGGCGATGGAGTGGGATGCGACGCACAGCTCCTGCCCGTTCACCTCGCCCTCCTCCACCTCCACGATGCCTGCGAGGGAGGGCGTCAGTTCACATAGTCTGCCAGCGGGCTCTTGGCTGCCCAGCTCTTAGGACCACCTTTGCATTCTCAAATTCAACAGGTGGGGTGCCCTGACTCCAACTTCCACCCCCTCACCCCCATCAAACAGGTCCCTGGGATCTGAGAGGACGGAAAGGTAGCCAGGGGAATGAACACCCCTCTGGCTGCCCACTGACTTCCAGCCCACCAATGCCCTGGGCTCCATTCCAGACTGGACTGGTCCTAGCTGTCCACCTGCTTGCAGGAAGTAAGACTCACCTGAGCCAGGGAGCAGCTAAAGGTCAACAGGTGGGTTCTGAGTAATTTCTAATTGAACCTGGTAAGCTATTTTAGGATGACCTCCCTCTGGAGGCAAACCAGACTTCCGGACAAAGCTTTCAGATAGACACTGAGCCTCCCTGGTCTAGCTCTCCCTATAGCTGCATCCCCACAGGAAACACCTGGATGTAGCAGGGGGATAGGAGCCAGGGAGTGTGCTGTCACTGAAGGAACTCAGGTGGAAAAAAAATCAGCCTGTTCTCACAGAGACGCTCCTACAGCCCACCCACCTCCTGGGGACCCCCAGAGACTGCAGACAGGGCCCCACCGGCTGACTCCCCACCTGCCAACCCCACTGCACTTGTCCTGATGCCTTCTGCCCTGAAAGGCACCCACAGGATCAGGTCTGTGTCCCAAGTAACCCCCACAAACATGTGTGTGAGAGGGACACTGGAGTGACTTGAGAGCAGAAGCAGAGGCCACCTCACCCAGGGGCCACCTGGCTGGCCCACAAGAGGTACCTGTGTTCTGAGCGCTGACGAAGGCCACCTTGTTGGTGTCGGGTTCCAGCCTGATGAAGCCGCACTCCCTGTGCATGGGCTTCCGTGTGTCCGGGTGGAAGGCGTTGAACCTGCACAGAGACCGGGGGTGAGGGCAGGACAGAAGTGAGAGCAGGGACAAGGGGCCCCCAGTGCAGGCTTTGTGGCCACTCTCCCACACTCTAAAGCCCCCACTGAGCACAAGGTAATGAATATGCTTCTTGCTCACGTGGAAACAGACACTTAGGCAACCATGCGTGTGGCCGCCAAGTGCTTGGGGCTTCTACCTCTAGCCTGGAAGCACCCCCTGGACACCCTTCCAGCTCACTTGGCTGTGCTTGGCGCCACCTTGAGGACAGCAGCGTGTTCTTCATAATTTGGGGTACCCTTCCCAAGGCCCTTTCAGCCCCACACCTGACATGCTCCGGGCCTCAGCACCAATGGGTAAAATCCCACCCTCACACCAGGCAGGCCTGCCCTCCCGAGAGCTGTCATCTTGCCTCGGACATCCACTCATCTATAGGGTGGGGAGCAGAACAGGCCCCGAGTCAGGACTCAGCTTCTTATCAATCAGCCTGCGCCATGATGCAAGTTCATCGTGGTGGATGAGACAGCTGTGCTAACAGCACCTAACTCTAACAGAACTTCGCCAGCACCGCAAGCTGCCGTCAGAATTGGTTCCTGAACAGGGCAGTGCTGGTGGTCTTAGCACATACCCTCTCTCTACAACACACACCATGCTGTTCACCAAAACAGACACTTCAGGCACTGTCTACTGTATTCTACTTTACCTTTTTTTTTTTAAATCCTCACCCAAGGATACTTTTTTCCATTGCTTTTTAGAGAGAGTGGAAGGGGGAGAGAGAGGGGCATCGATGTGAGAGAGACACACTGATTGGCTGCCTGCTGCATGTGACCTGACCAGATCCCAGGGATCAAGCCTGCAACCGAGGTACGTGCCCTTGGCTGGACTCAAACCCGGGACCCTTCAGTCTGAGGGCCAATGCTCTAACCACTGAGCAAACCGGCCAGTGGTTTTTACTATTTTACTTTTAATGCTAGTCCATAAAACTCTCTTTGGGTCATAGCCACTGCTTAACAAGACTGCTTACGCTGTGGGTTATTCTCTGATCCAGAATTTCCCCTTTGGAGTTATGTGCAGAATGTTATGTTGTCCGCACCCATTCAGCCAAGAATAACACAAAAATGTACGAGACAATATCTTTAAAAACAAGGTCTTCTAAATCCTTCTGAAGCTGCTAGGCATGACAGAGTACCAATTAATTTAATAAGATTCTTAATACAGTTAAATGTACAACGGAGATTAGAAAAGGGTAGAGTTTTACTTTTTATTTACATAAGTAAATTTCTTCCTTGCCTAACCTTTAAAACTGTGTGTTATTTCTGAAATTAAAAATATTCTCAGCCACATCCCCTGATCCCCCTATACTCAGCCACCCAACACTAGGACCTGCCTCCTGTGGATGGGGCTGGGGTGACACACACAGGTGGGGGACTTCTGCGTTGCTGCCTAGTAAGAACCTGAGAACCACAATACTAACAGCTCCTTTGTGACCTCACCAGCTCAGGGGTAAGTCTAAAAGGAGGCCAAGTCCTCTCCTGTTCAGTATATTGGGTAAGGGGTGTAGCTGAACACTTACTCGTGTTGGGGAAACACACCCGAGACCTTGCCAGCCCAGCACCATACATACACAGGAGCCGAATGCCCTGTCCTGCCCACCGTGCACCTTGGCTGGAAAGGAGGATGACACTCTCTGGGATGCACCCTTCCCCCCGGCGTTCTCCCGAGACCTGCACACTTACGAGAAGTTGAGCATGGGCTGGCCCACGTGGGAGATGTGAACCTCCTCCAGGTACTGGAAAGGCTGCAGTGTTGGAAAGGTCCCGGCTCCCGGCGGGTCTGACAGCCAGGTGCCCAGCATCCAGGACAGGGGCTCCACCACTGGGTTCATCTTGGGGGGCTCTGAGGACAAATGGAAAGGACAGTTAGTGGCTCTGTGTCCACTGGTCTCCTGATGGAGCCCTGCTGAGCTTTGTGTGGAAACCCAGTTGATCGGCACAAGCTTTGTAATTTACAGCAGTTGACTGAACATGCCACCAGCCACCTGTCAAGAGGGGGAGAAAAAGCCCAATGAGCCAACGTCATCTTGCAGATCAGTGTCAGAGTGGCAGTTCCTACACAGAATATGTGTAGAGAAGAGAAAGGAATTCCAGAAGCACCTCGGCCTCTGAAATTATACAACTTCTGGGCCCACAAGAGGCAAAGTGGCAGCCTGAACAGGAAGGGGGGTAAAAAGCCATTCCTTTCCAACCTAGCTTTCCCTTTTAGCGTTTCCTTTTCAAATTGCCTACAGGAACTTACATAGACAACAAAAATTTAAATCAGGACATCAGTTAGTCTTTGACGTAGGTAAGAAATAAAGGCTTCAGAATCAAGAGCCTAGACTAGAAGAAGCTGCTGCTGCTGTTTGTGAGTTGCCTGTTTTCTCATTCCTGCAAGAGGCAAACAGCTAAGCTAACAAAAGCTAATGAAAAACAAATTTCCCTCTCCACCTGGTGGCGCTACATTCCAGTGAGGGAACACACACAACACAAAGAAATAAGGAAGAGGAAGAACTAACTGTCATTAAGTGATGAGAAGGAAAGGGAACTGAGGGGCTATGGGCATTTTGAGATCTTACTTAAGAAAGCCAGGCTCCCAGAGACCATGCAGGAAGAGTGGACCAGGCAAACACGGCACAGAAATGAAGGCCCTGGGCTGGGCAGGCTGGCCTTGCTGGGGAGGGCTATGGCCTGGACTCTGAAAGGCCTGATGGGGCAGAGGTCTGCCTGAGCATCGAGGTGCGGCTGCAGGAAGCACCTGGCGGCAGAGGGGGGCAGCCTGGGTGGGTGGAGATGGTGGAAAGGGCCAGATTCTGGATCTGATCTGAAGGTACAGCAGGCTGGACTTGCTGATGGCTCAGATGTAGGCCACGAGGGAGGGAGGTCAGTGGGAGGTTTATAGCCTCAACAGAGAAGACAAGCTGCCACTGACTGACATGCAGACAGAGAGGGGTTGGGTGGTTGGAGGCCTGAAGCTCTAATGGCAACAGTTGGTCAGCAGGACAGTCCAAGCCCTGAACTCTCAGAATAAATGGAAATCATTATGCTGTACACATACAGCTGTGGCCTGAGACTCTCCCCACCTGGCAGGCTTCTGCCAGGCTCAGTGCAGCCCTGAAAACATCTTTGCAGGCCTCACGCTTTGTAGGGGTGAGGCTGCCTTTGGCAAGTGCAGAGCAGAGCAGTCAGAGCCCGTGGTCACTGACTGCTCTGCTCCTGACATTGGGTCCTGGCCAGCACACATGAAGCATGGCCTAGTTTGACCAGAGAGCCAGAAGCCAGGCACAGAGCAGCCCATGATCCCAACCCTGCAGCTCAGGGGGCTCAGCCAAGGTGGGGCTGGCATGAGCCTGGCCAGCTCAGCACCCTCGGTGCAGGGGCATGTGACACAGAGTGGTCCAGAATCCAATCTGCTGCTCTACCTGGAGCTGTGAATTGAAACCCCCTTGACCCCCAACATGTACATCTGAGACCTTCAATGCACACATTAAAGGTGTCTCCCTCTCCGGGAGAAATTAGGAAGGATGTCCAGGAGCCCCTCCCTGGGTACCAGTGTAACAAGGGGAGGGGTGGTGGTAAAAGGGGGATGACACTGATTTCAGTCTTTGGATCTCAGGGCCGGCGGTCAGTCGTTCTGGCCCGGAGGGTCTGAGTGACCACTCATGTGAAAATAGTCCTGTTTGTGTGAAGCTGTGTTCTTCTCTTAGGAGGCTTTCTGAGTGTTGTCCTTTCACCTGGGCAAAGCCCCAAGACCTTGGGATGAGCCAGGCCGCCCTCTAGCGTGGAACCACGCAGCTGCACTGGCAGACCCCACACGTGAATGGGGAAAGTGGGAGAAGCTGAAGAATCCCCAAAGACGAAGAAAAAGCATTAGTCAGAGCACCACCAAATGAAGCCAAAAGGGGAATGGCGAACACGGCACGGAAACAGGGAGAAAACAAGTTCAAAAGGGGAGAAAAGGTAAAAGACATGAAAACAAAGTTATAAGGATTAGAGACCTGTACACCCCGCTGGTGGGAAGAGTTTGGCGGTTCCCCAGGCTGAGACGGAGCCAGGAATCCACAGCAAGCCCACCCGAGACCAGAAAAACATCCACACACAACACTGTGCACAAGTGTTTACAGCAGCCAAAACACGGAAACAACCTGAAGCCCTCACTGGATGGATAAACGAAGGGCCATCTAGACAACAGAGTGTTGGCCATAGAGAGGCACAAAGCATGGACACTCGCAAAGACATGGGTAAGGCTTGGAAACGCTGTGCAAAGGGAAAGAAGCCAGGCATTAAAGAGCGCACATGGCCCGACTTCCGTTCATGTGAAAGTCAGAACAGGTGAGGCCGCAGAGGCAGAAAGCAGGCCAGCGGTTTCTCCACACTGATTTCAGTGGCAGAATACAGCAGTGCCACACTTACAAGATACAGTGGTAGAAAGTGAGCCACGGGTTCTACAGCTGCCACATCTTCCGTCAGGCAGGCTACAGATCTGTGCTACCCAACACAACTGCTGGCGGACACACGTGAGCATTGGACGTGTGGCTGGTCCACTGAGGTGCTCTTTAAGTATACGGCACACCGGGTTTTTAAAACACAGTGCAAAAAAAGAACTCCAAATACCTTAGCAATTTTAAGTATTGGTGGGTTACATGTGGAAATGATGTTTTAGATAATACTGGGTTGAACAAAATATACTATGAACATTAACTTCACCTGCTTTTCTCTACCTTTTTAATGCAGCTCTTAGGAAATTTTAAGTTACATATGAGCTCACGCTACGGACAGTCTCAACACTCAGGGAACACTGTTCCTGTGAACTGTCCCTGAGGACATCACTAGAAGGTGGACTTTACCAAGAGATGACGAGAAATGATGGCAGAGGAATCACAGTAAGTACTGAATACAGTCCACAGAAACATACCAGTGGGTCTGGTTCGGAGCCCATCCAATCATGTGCACCTGTGAATCAACTCTGCAGTGGCCAGAACGTTTGTCAGGTGGTGTGGGGCCTATAAGAGTCCAAGTTCAGCATGTGCCTCTAGACACAGAGCAGCCTGTCAGGTACCACCTGTCTCTGAGGCCACAGAGCTCCCTGGGTGGACTCTATAAACACCCTGTTGCATTACATGAAAGAAATAAAGGGAAGAAGCAGTGTTTATTGGGCAATCTGTTTAAAAAGACTAGAAAAATACTTGCCCTGGCTGGTGTTGCTCAGTGGTTAGAGCATTGGCCCAGGCACTGAAGGGTCAAGGGTTTGATTCCTGGTTAAGGGCACATGCCTGGGTTTCAGGTTCGATCCCTGGCCCCAGTTGGGGCACGTGTGGGAGGCAACCAATCAATGTATCTCTCCCCCACCTTTCCCTCTAAAAAAAAAAAGGAAATCAATGGAAAAAAATATCCTTAGGTGAGGATTAACAACAACAACAACAGAAAGACCAGAAAATCCTACAATGACCCTTGTTTCAAAGTAAGAAGAGACATCCTGAGTAGACAGAGTAACTGACTGGACATGAGGCCAAGGTTTAATGACCAGCACACGGGCCGCACACCCAGGCAGGTGTCCACTTCGGCACCGGTACGTCTTCTCTGAGAAGCACTGCCCATTTGGCCCTCCTGGCTTGCTGTTATTTGCTGTTGTCTGTAAGGAATTTAAATGTGGACAGACACCAGGGCTGGCAGGTGGGCTCCATGCCCCTCGCCAGCAGCGCCCACAGGTTCCTCCACTGTTCCAACCTGACTGCCCGCGACTGCCGGCAGCTCCCTGGCTGTGTGTCTCCTTGTTTTCACTAAAGCTTTGAGCGAGGAGAATGACCAACAATATAATTCTAAAATCCAAATGTTAGCTTACCCAGTCAAATTTCATTAAACTATATCTTTAAGATCTGTGTATTTTACCTACATAAATTATACTTCATTACAAAAAAAAAAATTTAAAAGTCAAACAAATAAAAAGTATAATGATAAGGGATCTAGTCTATTGCCACTTTCAACCTCTTCAAGTAAATTCGACAGGCTTTTCTATGCATTTTCCTGTTTCATTTTTCTTTTATTAAAATCTTAACCAAAATGCAAAAAAAAAAAGAATTAAAATTTTTCCAAAAAATTTAAATTTTCATTTTTTGGCCCAAGGCAGTGAAAGAAGGCTTACCCATCCCTAAATTTTCTAAACTCCGGACACAGGCAAGGCTCGTCAAGGTTGTTTTCTGCCCATTGACGGGAAATGTTTGCACCTGGCTGTTAAGAGCGCAGCAGGAAGTGAATGCCAAGCCTGAAGAATGCATTCTGGGAACTGTAGTTCCTTATAAAAGAACGCCTCAGAAAAAAGTGGGAGGCAAAGACAGACCTGGAGGTGACCAGCCTTATTGCTGGGAGGAGAGGTCCAGTTGAATTTTATGAAGGCCAGTTTGGCCCAGAGAGGTCCCATGTCTTGTGCGGGGTAAGGAGGGGGACCTCCACCCTCGGCTACTTCCACTGAGGACAGAGGAAACCAGGAACAGGGAAAAGGTCATGCAACCAGGCACACAGCAGAGCTGCCTCCTTCCGAACAGTCACTCTGGAAACGCGTCCCTTTCTATCTGTCTCCCAGAGCGCCAGCTGCCCACTCCCCCTGGCTTTTTAAGTGGACGCTCAGAGACTGCTGTGTGTCTTGGCAAACGTGTCAGCAGACGGGCCCTGGACTCAATGACAGGAAACCTAAGGACAGTCTCCTTCCTGGCACCTCCCACCCTCACAGAGCTGTTAGTGACAACACTGTTTCCCGCCATTGCACACTGGAAATGACGCTAACTATACAGCACAGCAGTGCAGGGAGAGCCAAGACTGCCCCAGCGGAGAGGACACTACCTGCACTGGAGGTCTGTTTGGGTC